AACCCAATGCTACCTCCAGTACGGGGGTCCATATTTAGATGTCCGGGCGAATTCATATGGATGGTCGCCTTGCTAATAAATTAAATTAGCGTAAAGCGCTCTAACTAGTATAGAAATTTTAAAAGCATATACATTGTTTTCTTGCAGCTGTATCCCAAATCTCAGAAATTAAACGATACCAAACACTGTGTGCAAATACTATCAGCAACTTGTGCATTCATGGTTAATTTATGATAACTTTATATTTGTTTATCTTTCCAAAATTTACTTTGTCTAAACGAAGTATTATAGGAATCACCTTGTACACAAGCAGTACAGATTCATGTGCTGGAATTTTTTGCGAATGCTGTCTGAAATACCTTCACTGAGTACGACACCTCACCCACCTGAATGCATGACGGAAGGCGCTCCTTCAAACTTCAGTTCGAGGCTACTCGTACGCTAGAGACTGTCGGTAATATGAATAGAATACCGACTAAGGCATTCGAGCTTTTCATGGTCATTTCTTCACTGTTAATTGCCATCATGTATCTTATCTTTGCCTTTGTCGGTGCAGTTCCTTTGGCAGTGACGGCTTGTTTCTGTACAGACGAATGCGAGCCTTTGTTACCGGATCCTCTAAGCAAGCAGAAGTAACAAGTTCAGCTTGGTAAGCAGGCCTTGGTATCATTCATATATGGCTTCAACCGTTACCCATCGTCATCGTCGCGTGACGGAATAGTGACTCACCTGGCAGAAAAATTGAATAACCTGCGGATCAGAGGTGGTTCGGTGATCCGTATAGTTTTTTCGGGGAGTTTGTTGACCCTTGCGACTTCCTCATTCAGTACAGAATTTACTATATGCAGATCCTTAAATTTTGAGTCAGGTATTGGGAACCCCTCTCAATATCAAAATTAACTTACTAGAGCCACTTAAATCAATGTATGCTAGTCAGCCTTGATGTATAATTTAAAAATACTTGATTAACTTCATCTAAAGTGTCCAATGTCGTTTGGACGACAAAAATAAACGCGTTACCGTTAAATCATGTTCTTGGCGAATAGCAATCATAGAATGCTTGAACAAGTAGCCAAGTTTAACACAGTTGGTCGTCTGACGAACCTCAAACTGCACAATTACTTAGAAGTGGTATTACATTTAGTTGTTACCGTTCTTTATTTCGACTAATGTATAAAAGATACATCCTAAGTAAGAAAGAAGCTCAGTCCATTCTAAAGACATGCGATATTTACCGAAACCTAAATGACTCCGGAAAATCTTCTTCTCATAATATCGCTAACCAGCCTAACACTGCGTTTTATGATTTTTTAGAAACCATTAAGATGTAAGGCGGCTGAAACACTGGCATTACAAATTCCAACCCAAAATATTAGGACACTACGTGGCTACTAATGAAAACTATCTTGGGTATTTGCAGAC